GGAGTTCTCTGGCAAGGGCTCCATGACAAAAGGGGGAACATGAAAGAATTTGACCTGCCTGGAAATTGTACAAGCATTTCAAATTAGGAGCAGAAGTAGACTATTTAACCCTTTGAATCTGCTCCACTACTGAATAAGATCATGGCTGATCTGATTGTGGCTCCAAGTGCACATTCCTGCCTATCCCTGATAACCTTGGACTCCTTTGTTTATCAGGAATACATGGAACATACAGGATCCATTTTTAATGGCAGATTTGTGAATATTTTACAAATTGCTTTTGTTAAAGCCGAAGTTCCAGAAAATGTTTGAGGACTACAAGAGCATAAGAATAACTTCCAAAACAATCAAACACTTTCCCACAGGTTTACCTTAAATCAGAAGGAATTCGATAGTAAATGGTGACATTTCTGGAACAGCAGGTTCATTTCTTGTTATCCCAGTCCTAGTCTACAAGGAAATGCATCTTCTGCTATCAGCCAATTATAGAGTCATGGAGTATTCGAGTGATACAGCATGGAAACAGACCCTTCGGTCCAACTAGTCCACGCCAACCAATTTTCCCAAAATAAACTAGTTCCATTTGCCTGCATTTAGCCCATATCCCTCTAAACCTTTCCTATTCATGTACCTGTCCAAATGTCTTTTAAATGTTGTAACTGCGCCTGCATCCATCACTTCCTCTGGCAGTTCATTCCGCATAGGAACCACTCTCCATGTGAAAAAGTTGCCCCTCAGATCCCTTTTAAGTCTTTCTCCATTCGCCTTAAAATTATGCCCCCTGGTTTTGAATTCCTCTATCCTAGGGAAAAGACCTTTGCTATTCACCTTATCTATGACCCTCATGATTTTATAATCATCTATAAGGTAACCATTCAAGCTTTTATATTCCAGTGAAAAAAGTCTCAGCCTATCCAATCTCTCCTTTTAACTCAAACCCTCCATCCCAGCAACATCCTGGTAAATCTTTTCTGCAGCCTGTCCAATTTAATAATATCCTTCCTATTGCAGGGCGACCAGAACAGTACACAGTACTCCAAAAATGGCCTCAATTCTGATGAGATTTGTATATTTTTCAGAAAGGGTATAATCCTGGTGTACCAGTTTCCTTTGCACAGAATCACACAACATTTCAAGGAATAGGAATTTTGGGTCAATCAGACTTAGTTTAAATATATGAAAGTTAGGTTGCGGAATAAATGAGGTTGTAGGTCAAATAGAGTCATAGAGTCATGCAGCACGAAAACAGACCCTTCAGTCCAACCTGTCCATGCTGAACATTATCCCAAACTAAACTAGTCCCACTTGCCTGCTCCTGGCCCATGTCCCTCTAAACCTTTCCTATTCATATGTCTATTATGATTATAATAACTGTGAAACTGCAAATAAAAAAGATCCTGAGAATTGCCGCATGTTCTCACTTAAACTTAATTTGCTCTACAGGCTGTCAATTTAAACAGCCCCGTTGCAGTCAGTTTGCACTCTGGGCGGGTAGGGGCAGAGTCAAGTTAGGCCTGTTGACCTGGAGGCAAGTCCTAGAATGCTACAGGAGGAGGCAAGTGCAAAGGCAGGCTGGTTCTAAGGAAATGGTCTCAGTTGTTTTAGAAGCTAGATGTCCTTTAGCCCTCAACCTCACACTTCTTCTCTGGCTTACTCATACCTTCATGGCTTCTCCATGTCAAACTCATTCCTCTAACTCACCCCATGGCTCCTCCATGCCAACTGATGCTCTTTGTACACTGTCTTCCATGACTACTCACTCATCATCCATTGCTGACAGACCTAAGCAGCCAAGTGGTGTTGAGAAAAGAAAACTCCAATAATCTAATCTAGCTCTCACTCTGAAACATTTGATAGAGAAAAAAGTCTTCCATTCACGAAATTCATTTAAGTATTTTAAATCTCCTCAAACATTTGATCCATTACGAAAACAAGCAAACAAGAAAACATTAAAGACAGATAATCCTTGAATCACCTCTTTAAACTGTCACTCAAACTGTGAACCCAGAACCCCTGGTTGAAATATTTGTAACTTTTGAAGTTCAGCCAAGTATTTGTGATGGTATGATGACTGCCATTTCAAAATGTCAAAAAGAACTCTATTGAAGCTGCACAAGCATAAAGCATAACTTACATCAGATGATTATTAATCAAAGCAGTCTAACTGACAGTGTGTTTTTTATAACTCCACCTGGCAGCTTAAGCTTCCTTTGCTTTCAGATTTAAAGAACAGAGGATTTACGAACCTCTGATTGTGACACTTGAACTGAACTTATCAACCTTTCAAGAGCATTTACAGCTATTCCATCAATGCGTGACTCCCACACTGAGGCAGGACTAAGCAAAATGGGGTCTGTTTGAACTCAGGACTAAGTTCAAATGGTCCTGCCCAGTTCAGATTTCCTGACAGAGCAATTGTTCCCTGCCTGCTTCCTTCTGCCAGCAACAGTTAGATTTATCAGAGATGGATGTGGGACTTCTGTATCCTCCCTGTCATTTTTAAAGGCCCAGTCTTTCCGACTGTGCAAAAATCTAGACCACACAATCTATTTTTGGCATGGAAGCTTTAAGATTTTGTACTGCTGTGCTGGTAAAACTGTGATAATTCTGAACAGTGACCTTTGTTATTTGGTGGGGTGGTGGAGGTTAGGGATGGAGAGAGTAGCAGCAAAGAATAACAG